CCCCAAAATAGCCCTGCTTGCAGGGCTCCTGGTATAAAAACATAGCCTTACTCTGGAGGGCACTGAGGATACCCATCACTGCTCCTGGGGAGTGGCTGCAGAAAAGGCCCTTCCGTTAATCCCTGCCCATTTGACCGGGCAGGGCAAGTCCCCACAATCTCAAGGCTCCTGTGGATTGCTGTGGGCGCAGGTCAGCATTCCTGTCCCCAGCGAATGAGATTCCAGAGAACAAATGGGACTGGCGGCCCAAGAGATTTGAACCTGGAACTCTCTGATATGGTTCCAGTGTGTTAGCTGCTGTATTACACCAGTGGTATTTGTGGGACACTTCATTTGCAATTACCATCGACCGAAAGAGCTACATGACCGCTGTATGTCCCCCACAGAACATGCATATACAGCAGTATAGACTATGAATATTAAATATATAGCTATAACTTTTTTAATTACTGGCTCAAGTGGTTAAGACGCTGAACTGCAGGCTGTGGAAGATCGGTAGTTCAGCAGTTCGAGACCCGAGTGACGCATGACGGAGTGAGCTCCCGTCTCTAGTTCCAGCTTCTGCCAACCTAGCAGTTCGAAAGCAAGAAATTGCAAGTAGATAAACAGGTACCACTTCGGTGGGAAAGTAACAGCGTTCCGTGCACCTTGGTGTTTAGTCATGCCGGCCACATGACCACGGAAACGTCTTCGGACAGCGCTGGCTCTTTGGCTTTGAAACGGAGATGAGCACCGCAACCCTAGAGTCAGATTCGACTGGCTTTCGAGCAAGGGAACCTTTACAGCATCTACATTTGTTCCTCCCCCCCACACACACACCAAATACACCCTGTGAACTCTTGTGTATCTGGAAGAAAGGGGAAGAATTCTCTCTCTGACTTCCTACTTCCACCTCATCATGAGGCGCAGCAGCTGAGGAGGCAGAGTGAAGAAAGGCCAGGTACCTTGAGGAGAGCAAGCCAGCCATGGAGCATGGGAATGTAAAACATCATCTCCTCACTTTGGGCTGGCTTGCTCTTTTCCCGCTGTGCTGGTTTCACTCTCTTTTCTTTGCAGCCAGCATGCTCTCCTCCCGGTAGTCACCCGGGTTATATGAGAGAGGGGGACATTGGAGACAATAAGCCCTTTACTTTCATATCTGGCATCAAGCCTGCAGGTGTAGAAAACTTAGAGCTTACCCATCCTCCAACAGCGGTTGTTCCAAGGTGCAAGCTACCTGCCAAACACAAGCCCTACTGGACGGTGATCTTACCTACTTTTGCTGGAACGTGGGGTGAGTGCCACATTGGGGTAATGATGCTTAGAAGAGCCACAGGTGCCTCCCAAGCCACTGGTTGGGTAACCACTGTGTTACAAAGTCTTGAAGTGGGTGCCCAGCATGGGGTAAGGGCTCAGGTGTTAACACTAGGACCGGGAAGTCCCAGGATCAAATGCCCACTCAGCCATGGAACCCGGAACCCAGTCGGGGATGTTGGGAGAGACGCTTTGTCTCTGCCTAATCCACCACAAATGATGGTTGTTAAGGATAAACATATTTATTTATTTACTTCACTTATAGTCCGCCTTTCACACACAGCCCCAGGGCAGTTTACGACAGTTAAAAGCCAACAATAAAAACCATTTAATTCCCATAAGCATTCAAAACTACCAACAATATCACCTGCCTAGCAAATGTCCTCCTGAAAATTTGCAGTTTGCCCATCCTGCAGAGCAAAAATAGTGTGTGGAGCCTTCCTGAATGTAAGCAGAGTCCTGCTGGATCAGACCAGCGGTCCATCTAGTCCAGCGTCCTTTTCTCACACGGTGGCCAACGAGTTCCTCTGGACAGCCAACAACAGGGCATAGAAGCCGAGGCCTTCCCCCGGCTCTGGGCTTCAGAGGTTCAGTGCCTCTGAATATGGAGGTTCCCTTCAGTCTTATCTAATCCCCTTTTAAAGCTGTTTATTCCTGTGGCCATCACGACATCCTCTGGCAGCGAATTCCACATTCTAATCTAATTTACTCTCTGTGTAAACCTGAACCTACTGCCCATCAGCTTCATCGGCTGCTCTCAAGTTATAGTACTTTGGGGGAAAGACAAAAAGACTTGGTCAAATCTGCTATTCCACCAGGCCGGGGCCACAGCAGGGATTTTTTTTTGGGGGGGGGTCTACATGCCTGCTTGCAGGATGACACCTTCCAAAGCCCTTGCTCAGGTGAGCAAAGCTGTTGCAGAGGAGCATATGGGGAGAGGAGGGGAGAAGTACATTTGCTGCTGTTTCCTTGGAGGAAAGCAGGGATAAACCTACATGCCTGCTTGCAGGATGACACCTTCCAAAGCCCTTGCTCAGGTGAGCAAAGCTGTTGCAGAGGAGCATATGGGGAGAGGAGGGGAGAAGTACATTTGCTGCTGTTTCCTTGGAGGAAAGCAGGGATAAACTGAGAGCCAGATTGGTGTAGTGGTTAAGTGCGCAGACTCTAATCTGGGAGAACTGGGTTCGATTCCCCACTCCTCCACTTGCAGCTGCTGGATGACCTTGAGCAAAGCATGGT